TTGATTTCACTTCTCTTTAGAGTGAGTTTCTATCGAATATGTTGATTGATTGACTGTTTTCACTCATCTTTATATTGAGCCTCTGTCGGAAGCTGAACAAATGTTTTAAAACAACTTTTATTTAAACTGGGGTTTATGAGATGTTCAGAAATTAATCACTGATTTGGCATTTGGTTATTTCCACCGAGATTTTCAAGTTATGAAGTATTCATGATTACTGTTTTACCCGAGGGGCTGTTTTACGAACTATGCTTTGCCCGAGGGGCCGATTATTGTTTTAATCTCTATTATTATTTTAAATGGTATTGAACCCCTACCGAGACTGCTGGAAGCATTTCAAAAATGATTTTTACTAAAAGCTGGGTTTTAAAAGGAAAGGTTGACTCGTATTATGATTTGAAAACTTGCGGTGTTTATTGAGTCTAACGCAAATGTGGATTCATTGTTTCCTACTGCTCAGTCTTTATTTACTCTTATTACTAACAGGGTTGGAGTACTCACATTACTCCCTGCACCTCGTGTGCGGATGCAGGTATTTATTCACCCGGTAGCAGGTTTTGGCTGATTGAAGGCAGAGCTATAGGAGCTTAGCGGGGTGACTGCCAGCGTTCGCAGCACCGCTTCTCTCTCTGTTGTTCATTATTCCTGTTCAGTGTATTTTTAGACCTTGTAGTTGTATTTACACTCTTATAGATGCTCGTGACTTGTGACACCCCGATTAGGGCTGTGTTAGGTTATACTTCCGCTAGTTAATATTATTAAATCATATTTAGACTGCTTATTCATGTTTCACTATTTTTGAGAAGGCGATATGGGTTGGTTGGCTGGCCTTGTCTTCAGAAGAGGCGCCATCACGACCGGATCGGGGTTTGGGTCGTGACATTCAATTCATATCCTAAAGGTTCAAGTCATATCCTAAATTTCAATTCATATCCTAAAATTTCAAGTCATATCCTAAAATTTCAATTTATAATCTAAAATTCCAATTCATAAACTAAAATTCCAATTTATATCCTAAAGGTTCAAGTCATATCCTAAAGGTTCAATTCATATCCTAAAATTTTAAGTCATATCCTAAAGGTTCAATTCATATCCTAAAATTTCAAGTCATATCCTAAAATTCTAATTCATAAACTAAATTCCAATTCATATACTAAAGGTTCAATTCATATCCTAAAGGTTCAAGTCATATCATAAATTTTCAATTCATATCATAAAATTTCAAGTCATATCATAAAATTTCAATTCATATCCTAAAATTTCAAGTCATATCCTAAAATTCCAATTTATAATCTAAAATTCCAATTCATAAACTAAAATTCCAATTCATATACTAAAGGTTCAAGTCATATCCTAAAGGTTCAAGTCATATCCTAAAGGTTCAATTCATGATATGACTTGAACCTTTAGTATATGAATTGGAATTCATATCCTAAAATTTCAATTCATATCCTAAAATTTCAAGTCATATCCTAAAATTACCAATTTATAATACTAAAATTACCAATTCATTAACTAAAATTACCAATTCATATACTAAAGGTTCAAGTCATATCCTAAAGGTTCAAGTCATATCCTAAAGGTTCAATTCATATCCTAAAATTTCAAGTCATATACTAAAATTCCAATTCATATCCTAAAGGTTCAAGTCATATCCTAAAATTTCAAGTCATATCCTAAAATTCCAATTCATAAACTAAAATTCCAATTCATATCCTAAAGGTTCAATTCATATCCTAAAGGTTCAAGTCAGATCCTAAAGGTTCAACTCATATCCTAAAATTTCAAGTCATATCCTAAAATTCCAATTCATTGTCACGACCCTAGTTCACCAACCGTGAACATGTCATGACGGCACCTGGTCCCCATGACCAGGTAAGCCTAACTTTTGCGGAAATATATTAATTGCGGAAAAATAGAGAAAATCAAATCAAATATCTAAAAGAAACTGTACTGAATTCCGCTTGGCAAGTACAACTCAATATCACATGTCTAAAACAATTCCCAAAACCCAGAAACTCACGGGCAACACAGGCTACAGAAGTGTATAGTAAAGGTTCCAAACTCCAGAATTTCTAACAACCGGAAGAAGGAAAAACTAAGTACTAAAGATAGAATAAGAGGGAGACTCGTCGGTCTGCGGACGCAACAGATCTACCTCGAAGTCTCCCTAGTCCTCCTGCCTCACTGATAGGGCACCTGAGTAGAGGTACCTAGATGATCTGCACATGAAAAACATGCGCAGGAAGGGCATGAGTACACCACAGCGGTACTCAGTAAGTGCCAAGCCTAACCTCGGTTGGGTAGTGACGAGGAAGGTCAGGGCCATACTGAGACAAAATATAGTAATAACAATAATTAACAGTATGATAGTCTGACAGAAATAATAAATACAGCAGTGATATAAGACAGATTAAGCAAGGCAATAGCAAATACACAAGAACGGAACAACCACAGAATAAGTACAGCTCAACACCAATAGTAACAATGAGGATCTCCCAGGATACCGTCCTGTAGTCCTTTTCTCAACTGTCCAGTGGATCTCCCGGGATACCGTCCCGTAGTCCATCATATGTGTATATCCGAAGGATCTCCCGGGATACCGTCCCGTAGTCCAACTATAAATGTGCAGGGGGATCTATCGGGAATCGAACCCGCAGTCCCAAAGTAAATGTGCAGGGGGATCTATCGGGAATCGAACCCGTAGTCCCAAAGTAAACAAACAAGGGGGGGGGGGAGCTACCGGAATCCCACATCCGTAGTCCCAATGTAAATGCGCAATCACAACCAGAAGGTACACGGAAACGAAGTACAAAAGACAAACATCAGGTAGTACTAGCCTAGCATGCTTCACGTAGTACAGTCAAGGCAACTTAAACAATTAGGCAAGTTAAATCAACTAAACATGCTTCTCTAATCTAACACAGGTTATAACTGCAAGTAAAACAAGGCAAATATGAAGGAAACTCAGTCTCAATATCTTAAGTAAAAATCGGGTTTTTCAACAATTAGCTTAAGTACGCGCTCGTCACCTTACGTACAAGGAACTCAATTACCACATATCAAATCCTAAGGGGAAAGGTCCCCCACACAAGGTTAGACAAGCCACTTACCTCGAATCGGCACCAAAATCAACTCGAAATCACACTTTTGCCACGAGTATCCGACTCCAAATGGCCCAAATCTATTCAATTCAATTACATATCGTAAGTAATATTGCAAACAACTGATTCCACTATTAAATTTAAAGCTAGGACGCGAAAATAGGTAAAATGACCAAAACGCCCCTCAGACCAACGTCTCGGAATTGAATAATTTTCACATTTTCAAAACCCTCGTACTCTCACGAGTCTAACCATATAAAAATCTCCCAAACGGAGGTCAATTTCCCACACAAAACTCAATAATTAGGTCTATGAAGTTTCTTCCAATTTTTTCCCAAATTTTGACCTTGAATTCGAATTCTAATGGTGGATTTAACTATATAATGATGAAATATAACAAGAAGGGACCAAAGAAACGTTACCCAGTGATCTTCACTTCAACTCCCACTCAGAATCGCCTTAAACCGAGCTCTCAATTGATTTTTGTAACTTATGAACTCAAACCCTCGAAATTTCTATTTCTGCCCAGGGATTTCCGCTTCTGTGGACAAGGGACCGCTTCTGCGGTCCCGCTTATGCGGAAAGTGAGCCGCTTCTGCGACTCTCACTAAACGACCACATCCGCTTCTGCGGTCCAGTCAACCGCTTATGCGGTTCCGCTTATGCGGATTATCCACCGCTTCTGCGGTTCCAACTAAACGCCAAACGGCCGCATCTGCGGCTATTTTCTCGCAGATGCGAGGCCGCTCCTGCGGAATTTCCTCCGCATCTGCGACGCCTGGAAACTCTGCCCCAAAACCGCTTCTGCGATGATCCAGCCGCTTATGCGGCTCCGCTTCTGCGGTTCCGAAGCCGCAGAAGCGAAAATACCAGAAGATGAAAAGAACCAGCTGCTGCAACACTTCAAAAATCTCCCCGTTAACCACCCGAAATTATCCCGAGGCCCCCGGGACCTCAACCAAAAGCACCAATACCACCTAATACCTTATTCAAACTTGTACCAATCCTTAAAAAACCTAAAACAACACCGGAAGTCCGATTAAATCAAAGATTCAAGCCTAAGAACTTCAAATTCCAACAAAACACACTTTCGATCAAAAACCAAACCAAACCTCGCCCGAATGACCTGAAATTTTGCACACGCATCCCAAATGACATGACGGAGCTACTGCAACTTCCGAAATTCCAATCTGACCCTCGGATCAAAAACTCACTATCAGACCGGAAACTTCAAAAATTCAAACTTCGGCATTTCAAGCCTAAATGAGCTACGAGCCTCCAAAATACATTCCGAACACGCTCCCAACCCCGAAATCACCTAACGGAGCTAACGGAACCACCGGATTTCCATTCCGAGGTCGTCTTCACACTGTTCCGATTACGGACCATTTTTCAATTCTTAAGCTCTCATTTAGGGACTAAGTGTCCCAAAACACTCCGAATCCCAACATCGAACGTCCCGACAAACCAAAATAGCAGAAATGAACTTAGGGGAAGCAGTTAATGGGGGATCGGGGCATAAATTCCAAAAACGACCGGCCGGGTCGTTACATGGTATTTTTTTGTTGAAGGTATATATAATTTAGTCTATTTGGGAATATTGGAAGTCTATCAGACAAGTGTTTGAGCTGCTTTCAGCTTAGTTATATATAACTGTTTTTTTATCGTTTTTTGTTATGCATTTTTATGATAACTAGCTTGTAGTTTGTTTCTGGGTAATTTCTTTTGAAGCTGGAATAGTACTTATTTTGTTGCAATTCTTGTTGAATTCTTTTTTTTTTTCAATTAAATAGTTGATGTTGGAGCTACTTTGACATATTTTATATGTAGACTTACGATTTTTTCTACTTCACATTTGATTTCATCTTTTGACATTCACTTATTTTATTATTTCAGGTTATGAATATGAAGTTTGAAAATTTAGCATGTGAAGGATTTCAATATGATGAAGAATTGCAAAAATTATTTGAGGACTATGGATATATTATATTGTTATTGTCGGTATTCAATAGAATCAGTTACAATGACATTAGTTTTTTAGTTTAAACAATACAACTTATTTTATTTCGCTGATACATTCATATTATGGAATGTACTTTCTTCTATTTATCATGATATTATGAAATTTATAATCTTTTTATAAATTAGTGGTATTATCTTTGGTAGCATTTGTCTATTTTTGAAGATAGTTTCGACGTCAACAAAAAGATTGTTAAAAGGATTAGATAAACCGTTATAATTGTCATTAAAACTTAAATATTTTACGACAATAAATTTTAGTTTTCACTAGCTGCTAAAAAGGTTACTTTTAGCGACTAATTAATTGAATTTAACTGTAATCGAAAAGGACGCCAAAGGTGCAAATTAGGCTATTTTCATGATGAATTTAGTTGCCATTATAATAGCCGCTAAGCACTATTAAAGCCGTTACTTTTAACGGCAATTCAAATGAATTTCCCGGCAATAAAATGGACACTAAAGGTACAAACTCAGCCAATTCCGGAATTGATTTAGTGGCCATTATAATTGCCGCTAAATAATTGCCGCACAAAGCTATGATTTTTAGCGGTAATTCAGTCAACATTTACCGGCACTTCAGTAAATGGACGCTAAAAGCTTTAGCGACCCCATGTACAGCGGCAAAAATTAATTGGCCGGTAAATGTTTTAGCGGCAATATTTATTGCCACTAAAGGCCTTTTTTATTGCCGCTAAATCCCCTTTTTGTTGTAGTGATCATTTTTAGATATTTTAGTTGTGGCCTTGAATGCGACTGTTTTCTTCTAGTCTTCTTGGTTTGTTTTCTTAAGATGTGTCTTTTCAAAGGCTATGAATTCTCCTCGAAGTTCATCTTAAGATAACTTATTCAGATCCTGAGATTCAAGTGTGACTACTTTGGTCTGCCAAGTAGTTGGTAGGCTTCTAAGAATCTTTCTAACTTGATCACCCCTTGAATATGGTTTGCCCAAGGCTTTTAGATCGCTAATTATTTTGCTGAATCTGGCAAACATCTCTTCGATAGACTCTCCTTCTTTCATTTGGAAGAGTTTGTAATCATGAACCAACATGTTGATATGTGTTTCCTTTACCTTGATTGTTCCTTCGTATGTAACCTCAAGCTTGTCCCACATCTCTTTGGTTGTGTCACAACTGGACATTTTCTCATACTCTTCACCACTTATAGCATTATAGGGTAAGTTTCTCGCCTTATTGTTGACTTGTACCACTGCCATTTGCTCATCTGTATATGAATCTATATCTTCAGGATCAGCAAGTGGTTCTGTATATGAATCTATATCTTCAGGATCAGCAAGTGGTTGAGCGGCAGCCAGCAGAGGATAGTTCCCCTTTTGATAACTCTCCAAACTTTAACGTCATACGCCTTTGCATATATTTCCATATGCACTTTCTAGTGGGAGAAATATTGTCCATTGAAGTATGGTGGCCTTACTTGCGAAGTTCCTTCCTGGAAGAGTGCTCCTATGATAACTTGATTTGCCATGATCTTTTCTCACAAGCTGTTAAGCAAAAGAAAAATGTGAGCCTTGCTCTGATACCAATTGAAAGTACAAGAGGGGGGTGAATTGTTTATTTTTAAACTTAATTGCTATTAGTTGACTAGTTTTTCAATTAGTCGACTGGATGTAATAGCTTGATAACAGTAATGACAGAATTTAAGATGCTGAAATTAAATGCAGGAATTAACGACACCATAAATTTTTATACAGGTTTGGATTCAATGTGAATCCTAGTCCAGTCCCCTAGGGTTGTAAGGGAGTTCTTTTCAGTGAATGAGTTTCTTTGAGTACACAAAGAATGGTGTGATCTACACCGATAGCTCAGTTCCTATATCACTCGTTTCTTTTGATACAATGCATCACCAGTGTTGTTCTCTCTTTCTTCTCTAACTTGTTACACAACAGGTCTTAGCAGAGCTACAATGTTTGTTTGCAGTAGAACAAAGAGAGGGTGTTTGGTTCGATCAAAGTATATGTTCTAAGGTGTGATTACAAGTTTAAATACTTTGAGAGAGGCTTGAATTCTGGAGAGATTTGCCAACCCAAGAGATGTGATCCTTGGAAAGAGATTGATTTTTTTCAAGAATAAGGTTATTCCACAACGGCTCTAACTGACGAGAGGCTTTAAAAGATATTCCCTTGTGTGCGATCCCGGAATCTTGATCCTTCCAGATTTAGACACTTGATTGAATATTCTGCAAGATCTTCGATATACTTGATTTATTTGATTCCTTCAGTTTAGCCTTGATTGATTCCTTCAGTTTAGCCTTGATTGATTCCTTCAGTATAAATTTCTTCCTTTAATCACGTTTGATTGATTCCCTCAATCTACTCTGATTGATTCCTTCAATCTACTCTGCCAATCCACGCGTTCCTTGATCATTGCTGATTGATTTCTTCAATTTTGAATGCTATCCATGAGTTCCTATTCAAAGAGCAAATATATTATTTTCATCATTAAAATCTGATCTAACAATTAGTTCATAAATGTCCTTGTCGTTGGCAAATCGTTTCGTATTTGCTCTTACATTAATTGAACTTCAACATGAAATGGGTGGACTTGAAGCTCTGTTACGGGTCAAGAGCAATAATAAGAATTATTTCCTGCTGGTAGGGGTAAAAATAGGCCAAAAGTCTAATAGAGATCAAAGTTGCTCCATAGTACAAGTGGCAAACTTGACCCTTTTCTCTTGGTTAAATTATCTCTTCTGATTTACCATGTTTTGGCAGTTAGCTTGATCCATGATTGGTATCCATGATTTTTTGGCAGTGCATAGAAGAAAATGTTATAATATGTTTCATTTACTGATATCTTATGTTATTTTTACAAATGCAAGCGGATAACACGTCCCATTCACTTAGTGGCACATGCACATTGAATCATCACCAATATAAAATGAGTTTACTGTTTTGCACTGGCAATGTTAAATTTTTATATTATCAAATTAAAGTGACCTATAATAATATCTATTATGTATTATAAGTCTAATTTCGTAACTTATACAATAAAGTAAATATAACTTACTATAATTAATTAAGATCCATATGTTTAATGTAAATATGTATTATGTTTTGAAGTAGGCCAAATACATCGCCAGCCCCTTAAAATTGTCCACCCTTTTCACTTAGACACTCCATCTAAAGTTTGTTTCATCTGAACACTTTAACCATGTATTTACTGTGTTATTTAGACAGAATATGCTGCCATGGCAAGGTAAGTATTTCTCACATTTTTCAAGCGCGTGAAATCATCCCCAAAACAAATACCACATACTTCTTACCGGCAAGTGAATAGTTTATGTCGGAAATTTTTTCCGGTGAAATTCTCTTTTTAAATTTTCAGATTTTTTCACAGGATTACTACCAAATCCTACTTCAGATCTGCAAACACCACCACCTCTAAATCAGGCCACCACCATAAACTTCTCATTTTTCTTCTCGTTTTTAAGATTCGATTGGCCGCTGCAATTCTGCCAAGAAAAGTAGAGCTCGATCTGAATTTTTTTTCTTCTTCCTCGAATTTTCAGATTAAAATCTTCCAGATCTAAAAGTTTTTGGCTTAGTGATCATTCCCAACTCTAGTCCTAAAAAGGATAAGCGGTCGCTGCAAATATATTCCGGTCTGAGAGTCCGGAGTCGAATCCCATAAGGAACTAAGGTTTCGCTATAACTATTCAATATCACTAAGAAGACAAGCTCGAATAAATTCCTAAGTTATAAAGAATAAGATTATTATATCTAACTAATTGACTAACAAATTAAAGTACTAAATTAACAATTAAAGATACTAAGGGTTGGAGACAAGATTAAGGATGCCTAGAGTTATGATTTTCCCAAATGCGGAATTCTTTCCATTATGTCTTCTATAATTCGCCTAATTTTTCTCTACTGATCATGAGCACTCGACTTATCGTAATTCTCTCTCGAGCAACTACAATAATGTACTAGTCATATTCTCTCGAACTACGCTAGCTCGCACTTTTTCAACGCTCACTAGAATCACGTCAAAGCTTCGTTATTTCTAATCCCGCTTTTAAACCTGCCGTATTGATCTCTCATATACCTTATGAGTGACGTTGTTCAAAAACCACCTAAATGTATATCCTTTCTCAAGCAACACATACTAAATAGGCACAGTCAATCGATGGCCATTCAATCAACTGAAATAAGCACGTAGTTGAACAAGTAGATAAATCCAAAGGTTAAATTATATTAAAATATGACAGAAATTCATCCTTCAAGAGGTTCCATCAAAACTCTAGATAATAAATTAGCTACTCATAATAGTATGTAAAACTACAATACTAAAAGTCATAACCAACAATGAAAAATAGGAAGAAGAAAGGAAAAACTCGTGGTTGAATCTTCCTCCTTGCTCCTAGCGTATTCTTTCCTCCTTGGGTATTGTCTAACCCTAAAGTAGTGTCTCCCCCTTCAAAAGGACGTTGTATGATGTATTTATATCAATTAGGATTGATGTGGGGCGTCCTTGATCTCTCCTAATTCGAAAAGGACATGCTGAGTTGCGTGCCAGAGTTGGTGCAACGCGCGACTTCTGGCACGCTCCCAGTTATTTCTTCTTTTTCTTTGTTTTTTTCGCGTGCCAGGTCCAGCGCCAACCTCCATACTTCGCTGTTTTTCGTTCATCTCCTAGGCCATTTTGCGCCTACCTTCATGCAATGCACCAATTGTGGCATGCTCCCAGGTCTTGCATCTCTACGCTTTTTGCATCAAATCATCTAATTCTTGCCAACTTTCATCAAAATTCATTCCAACACACAATAAACATGAAATGAGTGTTGATACCCAATTTTTCCCTATATGTATTTTAATATGCAAAGTACCCTCAATACATCATATGTATGCATATATAATGTATGTCCAAGCGTCTCATTATTTTTCCTTAACTTTTAAAGGTTGTAAAATCAATTTATTTTCCTATTTTATCCATAAAACCCCAATAATTATTTCTAAAATTATCATTTTTGGTGATTCACTTGTTGAACTTTTATATTTATACTAAGATATAGCTAAGGGAATTTTTGCATATTTTTTACAAAATCATTTAGTATTTTAAGGCTAAATTGTATAATTGCAACATTAGCCTCTTTTAGGATTTAATTGCGTTTATGTTCATAAAGATTAAGTCCTGTATTTTTAAATGGCTAATTATATGTCATAAATCATTTTAGTACTTTAATTTATTTCCAGAAATAAATTTACTATTTTTTATAATTTTAATAGGGGAAAATTGGCTATTTAAATGATAGCGCAGTTACATTTCAATTGTAGCCCAAAATTGACCCCAATTTGAACCCAATTTCCCTTGGCCCAATTCCTTTTAAATCCGACCCCTTACCCGTTTAAACAACCCAACCCGGTCTCCCACTTCACCATTTTCAATCCCAGTCGTTGATCATTTAGATCAACGGCTCTCGTTCCCCCTTACCTTAATTAATCCCAAACGACCACAAAACCCTATCATTTCTCACCTACCGCCGCCCTTTGAACCCCCTTTCCTCTCAAACCCTCTCTGCAACACCACCTAAACCCTAGCCGCCGCCACCCTAATCCACCCTAATACCTACCTAATCTATGGCCTTCCGTGGTCATTTCAGGCCTGTACCAGCCTTCCATGGCTCCTATGTGTTTGATTCTATGGTTTCATGACCAGACCTCGAAAGGATTTGGTCCAGTCCTTGCTCGATGACCTTTCTCCTATCATCCCTGACCTTTCTCCCCCCGGCCATGGCCATTCGAGTCAGATCCTTGACTCTCCTGGTTAGATCGGTAACTTTCAAGGCCTTTCTCGTTTCTTTTGGGTTTTCTGAAACCCTAATCTCTAAGATCTTTCTATTTCTTTCAGATCTGCTTTAGATCTGTACTCGCTATGACTTTCTTGAGTGATTCTCGAAGGTTCTTTAACTTTCGTTTAAAAACGACCGTTCATCTTCTCCGATTAGCGTTTTTCCTCTAAATTTTCTTTTCAAAGATCTCTGATTTTAACGTATTTCTGATTTTGTTATGGTTTTGTTCATATTATTCTTCTATCTGAGCATGTTAAAACCCTAATTCTTTTGTGTCTCATTTGAATCCTGAAGCTGTTTGTTTAATGTGTACTTGTTTAACTAAGTTCCTCATTCTTGTTTGACTTATTTGTGTTATCATTTTTTAAAACTCGATTGTTGTTGAAAAGCCCTAGGTCTTTGGGTCTG